TTACATATGTCGCTCTACTAAATGAACCCAAGCGCCTCCCGACGTTTACTCTCATTTATTCATAGATTTGCGCCAATCCATTGTCTGCTGTCTCTCGTCCGTCTCTCTGCGTTTCGGAATGTTCTCTCTATATATCTCTTTGTGTCTTTCTCCCTCCCTCTCCTATCTCTGTCTATGGCTCTCTTTTTTTTTCTCTCTCTCTCTCTCTCCACCCCTCTTTTTCTATCTATCTATCTATCTATCTATCTATCTATCTATCTATCTATCTATCTATTACTGCTTATCTCTCTCTCAGATAGTGAAAGAAAGACACAAAGTGATATATAGAGAGAACATTCCGAAACGGAGATATGCTATCTATCTATCTATCTATCTATTACTGCCTATCTCCCTTTCTCTCTCTCACTCTCTCAGATAGTGAAAGAAAGAGAGATTGAGAGAGAAAAAGAGAGGCATCTATCTATCTATCTATCTATCTATCTATCTATCTATCTATCTATCTCTTTCGTCCTCCCAAATCTCTCTCTCTCTCTCTCTTAATCTCTCTTTTTCTCTCTTTATATATCTATGTCTTTCTCTCCACCTCTTTCTTTGTCTCTAACACTCTTTTTCTATCTATCTCTTTCTCTCTCTCTCTCTCTTTCTTTCTAGCTATCTATCTTTCTATGCATATATCTCTTTCTCTCTATCACGCTCTTTCTCTCTCACTCTCTTTCGCTATCTATCTATATATCTAATATTTCTTTCCTTCTCAATGTCTTTCTCTCTACATACCTATCTCTTTTTCACTATCTCTCTCTCTCTTTCACTCCCTCTCTATCTCTCTCTATCTGTCTTTTTCTATCTCTTTCTTTCTTTATCTCTATCTTTCTATATATCTATCTCTCTGTCTCTCTTCTCAGTTATTTCTTCACGCTGTTTTTCTTTTTCTTTTTCCTGGAATCGAACCTCTTTACTTCTTCCTTCGTCACATTATCCTATTCTTTGCCTTGTTCTCGTAATTATAATATTTTTTTTTTAATTTTTACCCACCCTTGTAAAGTTTTTATCCATCCTTCCATACCCTATTTCTCTACCTAATTTTTACTTCAAAAAACATACTTCCACCCGCTTAATATGTATGTACCTTAACATTATATACATATCCCGGACTACAGCATCACCGACTTGAATCTGTGGCAAGAAGGTTTTTACGTCTGTCGTCGAATTGCTAGCCGCACGATCAACAGGTTTCGAATTGTTATTCTCTTACATTAATAACCAAAGATGGAGGACCCATTCTGACTAGCTATTAACTGTGTGGAACAGAGAGGAACTCGTCCCTTTAGAAGGGGGCCTCTTTTTCAGAAGACTGCAATAGAAGCCCGTCAGTTCATTCCCTGCTTCCGCGCCGATAACCGACACTCTACACGCACATCACCGCAAAGATATATTTATGTATCTACGTGTGGATATGTGCATGCGTACTATACGTGAGTGCGTGTGCGGATGTATGTGTGCGGATGTGTGTGTGTGTACTCGTTTCTCATTTCTCGCTGGAACGTTGTCTGTCTGTTTGTCCATATCACTCTATAATTTCAATCATATATGTACCTATCCCTTGATATTCTTATTACTGGATACATCTAGATTAACTGATATAAATCTCACTCCCCAATTTCGATCTGATATATTTTTGTTTTGGCCGTATCTCCCTTTGATTCAGTCTGTAGATTTTTACCTATATTTCCCGGCAACTATCTACCACATTCAAACACACACACACACACACACACACACACAACACACGCACACATACATACATGCACACACACATGTATATATATATATATATATATATATATATATATATATATATAGTAATAACAGAATGTGTGTTCAGAAAAAATGTTGGACTAAGATATTTCTGGAAGATAAGATTTTTGAGCCAAGTCTCCAGATAAATCGATGGTATCTCCTTGAAACTCATAGTAGAGAGAAGATAAGTTGACATTTAATTATTTTATTGCTATATATATATATATTTATATATATATATATATATATATATATATATATATATATGAATGAATGAATGACAATAAATATCTACCTCTCAGTATCAGTTGTGTTATCTCTCTTCCCCTCACTCTCTCTCTCTCTCTCTGCATATCTAATTATCTAATACACACACAAACACACACACACAAACACACACTCACTCACATATATATATATATATATATATATATATATATATATATATATATATACATATATATGTATACATATATATATATACACACATATATATATATATATATATATATATATATATATATATATATATATATATATATATATATATATATTACATGAGAGGGCAGGAATAGTTGGAGAGGGGCGTCGAGCCTTGCGTATATTAAATATGATTATTTCTCAGAAGTTTTCAGATGGAAATCTTGTATATTTGTCAGTGTAGACTTTATTAATTTTCGGGTCGTGTCATTTTCTTGGAAACGCTAGAATTGAAGTCAACATAGAAATTATCAAACAACCGAACTATTCTCCTAGAACGACTATTAGGCACTATTCTCCTAAGACGACTATTAGGCATATTAATAAAAGGATCCTAATAAGATTTGGTGCATGCACAAAAAACTGGCTGCATTGAAAATCAAGACTGATGGCATCAAAACACAGCTGCATTGGAGAAAGCAAATCTGTGATTCTCTTTGAATAAACAGAGACATGCTGACGCCAATGGATTATAGAACGTCCAGCGCGGATCTAAGATTAAGTAAAGCATGTCATAAATATTTTTTATTATATCTGTCCATACTTTTTAAATGAGGTATTGTAACAATTTATACTATTTACATTGTTCGGACTATTATCCTCATCTTTATTGTCATATTCACGACGTTTCGGGCGTTGGACGCTCCAACCTTCTTCAGGATCTTAAATTATATTTACACTAAATTGTTGGGAGGCCATATTCACGACGTTTCGGGCGTTAACTCCAATTTAGGATCTATTTTACATTGTTGGGATTTACATTGTTCTATTGTCCACACTTTTTATTGCCATATTCACGACGTTTCGGGCGTTGGACGCTCCAACCTTCTTCAGGATCTATTTATATTTCTTAAATGAGGTACTGTAACTATTTACACTATTTACATTGTTGGGACTATTGTCCACACCTTTATTGCCATATTCACGACGTTTCGGGCGTTGGACGCTCCAACCTTCTTCAGGATCTATTTATATTTCTTAAATGAGGTACTGTAACTATTTACACTATTTACATTGTTGGGACTATTGTCCACACCTTTATTGCCATATTCACGACGTTTCGGGCGTTGGACGCTCCGGCCTTCTTCAGGATCTATTTATATTTCTTAAATGAGGTACTGTAACTATTTACACTATTTACATTGTTGGGACTATTGTCCACACCTTTATTGCCATATTCACGACGTTTCGGGCGTTGGACGCTCCGGCCTTCTTCAGGATCTATTTATATTTCTTAAATGAGGTATTGTAATTATTTATACTATTTACAATGTTCGGACTATTGTCCTCATTTTTATTGTCATATTCACGACGTTTCATCCGTTGTACGCTCCGGTCTTCTTCATGTTGAATTTTAAAGCTCACCATTTTTTTTTTCTTTTCACGTACCATGCCTTTTTTTCTGGATATCTCAATTTCAGTTATTTCCGTTTAGTAACTCAACTCTCAAAGTTCTTAGCCAGGTATTGAACTCACAACTCTTTAGGCCAAGTCACTGGATTACCTCGACCAACGCCTTTATCCACTCGGCCATGTATCCCCATTGCATATTTTTTACACTCGGACCTCCAACGTCATAAAGAAATGACATTTGATATTTCAAACACGATAAACAAAGAACGATCAAAGCCACAAAAAATCATGAAACAGTCCGGTCAAAATATTTTGCCTGTTAATTTAAATAACATCGGATAAAAAGCAACAAATATATCGTAGTATAGAGGCGAATTCCAGTCAAATTCGTTACATTCACTTACGTGCTAATACCCTTGGAAAAGGTATGAATCCTCTTCTTCTCCTACTAGCCATGGGTAAATAGCAGAACAGACCGGCTTCTATAGCTTTGAATGGCAATTGGTCTATCGCAGAAAGAAATGGCAACCTACTGCGGGAAAAATCTGCCTTGTCAGTCATGTATCAAAAGATACATGATCGCCTAAGCGTGTAACCCGTGTAAAGTTTTGGTTGGTTTTGTTTAGCGGCATATCAACCTCTATGGGTTATTTAATGCCAAAATCTAAATATTTCGAACATAGTTTTATGGCTTCAAATACAGATAAAACCTATTGGAGGTCATTTTGTTATAAAATTTATGGTTGGTAATACTGCTTTAAAAAAAAGATATTGTTGGCAATTCTAGAAATATTTATCGTTGGTAATTTTTGTTGGTAATTCTATAAAATCTACGATACGTGGACTTTTTGAATGTTGTCTTAGAAAATGGTTTGACCGAGAACTTTTCATTACCCCACGCAGGGTAGTAGCACCTGTTATTTGGGACCCCTTAATTCTCGTTCAAACCATTTCCTAAGATCTAACGAAACGAACAAAATATTTTTTTAAATCTCTTCTTAGTCAGACCGAGAACTTTTCATCATTCTTTCTACGTATAGATATATTTTTGATACTTAAAGGGTTATTATTAATTTTTAAATAGACACCCCTTTTTTTCAAAACTACCCTGTATTACGTCTACCCGCCTGTGCACGGGAGAAAACATGATAAAAAAATTTGTTCTCCCTCGAGGTTCGAACCTGCGTTCACCATTGGAGGTGACACCAACGCCTGATCACTACCATGAAAGTTATAATTAGCCTTTTCAGGGATTCATATCAATTCTTTCGGGTTTTCTAGAAAGTCCATATCTGAACGTTTTTGTATCCGAAACGTAATGAATCCAGAGCGTCTATTAAAAAAATTGTCAGAAGTAATAAAAATTACCAGATTAAAAGTAAATCAATTATTTTTTAGAAATTGTTGTTTATGTTCAGGATATGAAATCGAGCAGATATGGGATTTCGAGATAGTCTGAGAGAGGGAATGGTAAATACTTAAAACTTTTTAGCCCGTGACGCTCTCTGTGGCCGAATTGGCTAAAGAACCTCAGATAAGATAGTGGTTTCTATAGCATGTCGGATCTGTGGTTTTCTCGAGTGAAAGCCGGTAAACATAATAGACATTTAAAAAAAAATTTAGAAAAACAAAATGTCTGTATCGAAAACGTATATCCATAAATATAAAATTTAGCGTAATAAGAAAGTCGGATTAAAAATAAATCCATTACTTCCTAATATATATATATATATATATATATATATATATATGGTAAAATGTAGTTTTAAAGTATGATATATTTATGAGTTAAAGTGCTCAATATCAGGGATAGAGCGTAAGTAAATATAAAAGTGGACATTAAAGTCATCACCCAGCGCCGACAATCTGTTCCATGCATAAACACAATCGTAAAATCAAATGAATTCTGGTATGTTTATGTTATATATATATATATATATATATATATATATATATATATATATATATATATATATAAAAAGAAGAGGGGTGCTGCAAACGTTTTTGGTTGTAATGTGGATTTATTGAGAAAAATATTATACTTTGTTTTACATAATTTCACGACACGTGTTTCTGGTCTGGTCTCGCAACCGTCTTCAGGTGAAAGTGGAGATTTTTACATATTATTAAAAATAATTAATTTTTCTTCATGTTCAATGTGGAATATTCTCGATATGAGACATTCTGTTTGTGTGTTGGCAATCCGAATTTTCTTTCTAGAATTGTCAATGAAGAGTTCTGCGTGAAGGGTCATAAAACAATTAAGGTTTGTCCAGCGAATAGTTATCGGCATTTAATCTTTTAATGTTTTAGTGACCTCTATGTGCTCTTGGATCTGTTTCTATTTTGGCGTGTTCCTGTCAGCATGCGTGTATATATACATACTTTTCTCTCGTTGGAACCACTACAACATATTTCTTTTATATATATATATATATATATGTCTTCGT